GAGGGCCTTCAGATAAAATGCCCATGTGGAACTTGGACTAAAACGCAACAGTGTCTGCATCTCCTCAGAAGGTTGCTGGTTCGAATCCTGTGGCCAGTATTTCACCTTTAGGCTCTTGCATGAGGCCCTTAACCCCAGCTGGCTCTGCTTTTTTTGATTGTACGTCGCTTTAGATTGAAGTCCCCGCTACATGAGTAAACGTAAATGTAATACGTACATCACACTGAGAGATGATATCCAATTCAAATGAAGCCAAAAAAGGGCAAGCCAAGTGCTGTCTGCCTAATGACATGTGACATCCCATTAAATTCAGCTGGCATGTCTTTTCCTCGGTTTCTTCCCTGATCATGTCGGCTAGGTGTGTCTGGCCATGACGATTCCAGACCAGAACTTATCCATTAAAATCTGAATGAAGATTTCTGAGACTGACTCGCAGCAGAGGACACATGTCCTTCTGAGTCTCACATGGCACATAAGCACAAACTAGTCCTTCCAATGACTTCAAAAACTCAGTCACCTCAAGATTCAGAGGCCAATACGTCAAATTTTAATTTCAATTATGATTTTGGCTTGTAACAATTATGAAAAAAATAATCGATAAAAATCATTATGCTGCATTTTGTTTTGTAGTGATGCTCCCTTTCCAACCACTTTTTATTTATTTCTCAGTTGAATTATATTCCGAGTTCAAGGAAATCCACTGTTAAAAAGACAAGCTTTTTTGTAAAAAGTGAGTAAATGCATATCTCCAAAGTCAATGAGTAACTGTGTTAAATAACCGTGATCTCAATACTGACCAAAATTATCGTGATTATGATTTTTGCCTTAATTGAGCAGCCTTAGCAGAGTGTCTTTTTTTTAACTAGAATTAGATGTCTCTATATTGTCCCTGCTCAGGGATGAAGAACGAAGACAAACAGCAGCAGGCTACTCTGACATGAGCACAGGACAGGGGGAGGCTCCCTGGGCTTTTCTGTGCCTCCGCTGTCGAGTCGCTGTCCGCACACGAGGGTTCAGGAGCCGAGGAGAGCCAAGGAGCAGCTGATGTGGGGTGACAAGGCTAAGCTGCTCGATAGCAACCAACATGCAGCACTGGGAGAGACTGAAGGAGGCCCACTTAGTTAAGAAGAATGACACTGAACACTGTTATCCAATGGGCACGGCCTGATTCTATAAATAGACACATTTTCTTGCCCTTATTGTTTTTGCATCCGTGCAGCATATTGTGACCATTTTTAGACCAGATGTATCTCCCATCTACATGCATGCATATACTAATACAAGTGCACATAAAGGGTATAGACTAATACAAGTGCACATAAAAGGCTATAGACTAATACAAGTGCACATAAAAGGCTATAGACTAATACAAGTGCACATAAAAGGGTATAGACTAATACAAGTGCATATAAAAGGGTATAGACTAATACATGTGCACATAAAAGGCTATAGACTAATACAAGTGCACATACTGTAAAAGGCTATAGACTAATACAAGTGCACATAAAAGGGTATAGACTAATACAAGTGCACATAAAAGGGTATAGACTAATACAAGTGCACATAAAAGGGTATAGACTAATACAAGTGCACATAAAAGGGTATACAGTAATACAAGCATCGTTCGAAACCCCCACCATGGAAACTGGGCTCTTTGTACGTGGGAGGCTCAGAGGTCCCTGAGGCTGTCAGCTGGGCCAGTCCCCATAGAGTCCGCTTCAAACAGGCCAGCAAAGTGCCCCGACAGCGAGTGGGCTGGCGTCCCACGGACCAGCACCGACCTCGGAGCGGGGATCCGTCAAGGTTTCAGCGCAAACCACACTAAAGGGCATGTTGCAACTTCTTTAGGGGACTAGACGTCCTTAGGATAGGAAGGCAAAGCTATCTGTCTGACCGCGGATTACAAACGGATGATTCTGACAAAGACATACATGTGGACATGCAGTCCGGTTACAGGTTATATAAGATACTGCTGCATTTTCCATCTGTCTTCCATGCCCAGTTTTGCAGTGCAAGAATAGACATTAGCCTGAATCCTATCCGAGGAAGCAGAGGGCAAAGGGAGACCGTGGACGGGAAAGCCAGTCCATTATGAGACATGCAGTCTTTGGGCTGTGGGAGGAAACAACAGGATCCAGGGAAATCCCAGACAACACAGAGTATGCATGCAAACTCCATAACCACAAAGCAAGGACACGATCGTAACGCTCTAAACCCTAAGAGACAGACAGGCAGAAAGACAGACAGGCAGGCAGACAGACAGGCAGACAGACAGTCAGACAGACAGGCAGACAGGCAGATATGGTAAGGTATTTTAGTGTTACTGGGTGATGTTTCCTAATTTATGGCTTTTATGCATACAGTGGCCTTTCATACCTAAAATAAATCAGTCAGCATAGAAACAGTCCAAGTGTATGACCTACAATACAACGCATAAAACCAGCAATGCCTCCCCCCATAAAGATGCCACCAGAGATTTCTACAGGGTATTCCCTCAGCCCTTCAGTCAAAATCATGTGACCGACTGAGATGACAAAGGATCTGGCCTGGGAAGTTACCACCTGGGGAGTCATTGTGAATACGATGAAAATACCAGAATAACGGAAAAGATACCATACTGCTGCATGGCTGGAAGCATATGTGGAACGACATATAGGATATCTGTGCTGTCGTTTCGGTTGAAAAATATTCAGAAATTTCTGGAGTGCTTTCATCTTTTAGCTGCATTTCTTTCTTTCTGTGGAGATCCAGGGGCAGTCTGACTGCGTGCGCGCACCTATTTTACAGTCGTAGCACAATGAGAGCCGCTGACGTTACACGTTTGTCCCTCTCCCATTCCGAGAGACAAAACAGCCTTAATGCAAGCTGGTTAAAAAAAATTATAATAAATTAAGCCCGTTTATATGACATAATTAGCGTCTAAAAGATGAGCTGTCAGGAAATTTTTCTAGGAGTTAGAGAAACTGCAAACTGGGGGAATAAAAACCCACAAAATTATCTCTCGTGTAGCAGGAATTGTTACATTTCCCTGATTTTTTTTCTGCTTACATAAAATGAATATAGAGTCGTGGCAAAAATAAAACGGTGGCATAAAATGAGGGCAGGCACAGGTGCCCATCTGCCTGGTGTTTCATAAGCGTGTCGCACAGAAACACATACATCGGCTGTGGGGGAGGGGCTCTGATTTATATTAAATGCACAGGAGTCACGAGTGATGTAGCTGCTCCCTGGCCACGCCCTCCACGCGCAGGCAAATGGAGGCAGACTGAGCCCGTAACGTCCTACCATCAAATGTGTATCCAGTGGGGTCAGTGTTTCACTGGAACCCAGGAGGATGTTATTATCTCTGATTAGTGTTCTTTGCCTTTATTGTCAATGTCCTACTTTTTTAATGGGATTGAATCCAAATTTAAGTAATCATAACTTCATGCTTTTGTTTTTACGTTAATTTCAGCTTTATGTGTTCGTGCACTATCCACAGACTGACTGCAAGCCAACATTTTCATAAAACGAAAAAATATTGTAATTTTGATCAATAAGCCTTTTTTGACCCTTTTTATTTCAAAGTGAAACCTTGAGTCATAAGATGGTTGGGTAAACTGAAGCAAAACTCCTACAAAACAATGACTCTCCAACAGGACAAGATAAAATCTCACGATCTTACCTGGTGCAGTGAGCACAGCCTCGCGACTGTGGCAACAATGTGTTTTTCAGCCGAGCCACATTATCCAATGAGTTAAGAGTTCAAATAATTTTTTTACATCAAACAAGTATAATGTGTAATGGTGCAACCACATATGGTCATAAATTAAAGACTTCACGTTATTTACCTACAGCACTTCATTGAATCATAGTACATAGAAGTATGTGCGTATTTCGTTTTTCAAACAAGCAAAACACAGCATCAAAAATAGAAGACATGACAGATTTATGAAGCCGAATATAATGTTTGGGGACATGGTCATCAAAGTTATTTAGATTGGCGATGTGTTTGTAATTAGTGACTTTGAGTGTTTCTTCAAAGCCGTAGCATACTGCAGTAAAGTGGGAATGGCAGGAATTAAAAAAAAAAAAAAAAAACGGCATCCCAGCCTTCACCGAACTGCGGAATGTGACATGTTTTGTAATGACAAGGTCGTTGTAGCAGAACTAACGCGCCACTGCAATGGGGGACATCATCAGCTCATTTTACAGGCTGCTATACCTCACCATAGACACAGCGTTCACCAAACAAGGCCAAAATACTACGAGGGCCGCCTGGAGTCAGCGAAGGTCATTTTATTACCGTTAGGCAACATTGATATACGCAATTAGCCGACGTGTACCGGGTACTCCATCTGATTTGTTGATTGCCGTTCCAACATGAGATTTAATAATTACAGAAATACCATAAGCTAAATCAACATCAACCGGAGGTCACCAGCGTGAAAGAATACTACGTTTTAATATGAAAAACATAAATGTCATTAACACACCCCCGTCAATCACTATTTCAGGCGAAGTAAGGTGGAGGGGAGAGGCGAAAAGGGACAGCGTGCTTCCCATAAACTCCGCAAGAGCTCGTCCTCAGTTGATAAAAAAATATGTTTAGGAGAAAACCAAAACTACAGATTCTGGATGAAATATCGTCGGCGGTCTGACATGTATATTCATTATAACGCAGCGGTGAATCTGTGACAATTGCACCATCTGTCCCATTTCATACCACATACTGCTATAATTGAGATTAACATAACACCGTTGCAGTGGGATGTATACGTGTGTGTGTGTGTACACACACCCCTCAAAAACCGATCCATGATGCATTACGCTCCCTAAATTATGACTGTCTCTGTGACAAGCGGTGAAAACCAGGGAACACGCCTAAGTCCAGGTTCCGGCTACTACACGCAAACATGCAGAAACACAATGCTTATTTACCAATTTATTATTGTTTGAACGTAAATTTTACATATTTTTTTGCCATTACTGCAGCATTACAAAACGCATGATGCTCTTACCTTATCGTACGGCACTTTCCGTTTTATGCCAACGTCAAGGAAGGAATGAGCCCTGAGATGCGGCGCAGGGACCACCGGAGGCTGGAAGGAGCAGGACAGGAGAGCAACCACATTACACGACGCACCCCTCCCTCTCCTTCCCCTCCCTTCTTTACGTCCTCTAAAGGATCACTCCATTCGAAGGATTGAATGGGGGATCCAATCGGGCGCTGGAATGTCTTCAAATAGGATTTTTAAAATATTTATATGAAAAATTGGTCTTTATAAATTAAAAATTGTCTGCACTCCATAACCCCAGCACCTTCTATGGCACCTCCTTAGAATTTCGTTGTGAACGAAATACAAAATAGTCTCACCTTATACACTGTACGTTTAACAATTATGCACGTGGTCCTAAAACAAATTGACGGGGATTTCCCTTGTTTTACGCCATAACAAGACACCCATACGTAGTAATTCGTTTTTTCAGGGACATTTTAATAGCGTGCAGGAAATCCGCTGTGCTTTACAGGTCAAGGTCTTGGCTAATATTCTATTAGAACTTAAGGTTAAAATGATAGACTGCTTCTTGTAAGGTCAATAAATTCGAATGTTCTACTTTTTACTTAAGTATAATTCTAAAGCCAGGTGTTTTGACTTTTACTTGAGTAGTATTTTGCAAGGTGATTTTTACTTTTACTTGAGCAACATGGTGTGGTATCTGCCTTTACTTAAGTATGAAAATTATATTCTAAGGTATTATAGATGCATTCTCATGGAAACCAATTTAGATTTTTGGAAGCCGTGAGCACAAATGAGTAAAATACCATTGTCTATAAATACTTTTCTGTGAAATTTAATATGCCCTAAGCGAATACTCTACACTGCTGATACGTCATTGCTGATATGGCTAAAAAAAGAAAAAGTAGAAAATATTAACTAAATGTCTTCAAAGAATCACACAGTAGTAGGCTATTACCTACGTACAATAGTGTATTATTTATCATAGTTTTGAGGCAAAGAAAGAAGAGTTTTTGTGTATCGTAATATCGTAATTTTGACAGATTTATTTATTTTTTTGACAGTATAAGTCTTCATGAAATATTCTTTTAGACGAACTTTATCAGAAGAAAAAATGTAAGCTTTCCCCATATGCTCAAATATAGCTCAATACTTTTGTAATTGCTTCTTAAACGGTGTACTTCGAGCAGATCTCTTCCATCAAGGTGTGCTTTTCATTCTACTAGGAGTATGATTTTCGCTTTGGTTGTAAGGGGCCATGGGTTCATAATCCAATATACACTTGAGGATTTATTCTGTAGGGTCGTATGTGTTTGTGGCTCAGCGATTTAGGATGCCGTACTTCTGGAAGATTGTATATTTCAGTCCCAGGGTTAACAAACAGGATTTCACCGTTGTAGGTTGCTTTTAACATGGGGCGTCGTTATAGGCCTGGGTACACACACACAAACACAAACACAATAATAATAATAATAGGCCTAGTACTATAAAACCCTGATCTATTAACCTGTCATTCCGATTTTACTTTAAAGCACTCGGAAATCATATAACCCAAACCCGTAAACCAATAGATCGCTTGTCGTTTTTAGCCGTATACGTGTTAATTCCTTCTATTAAAAAGTCGACATTGGTTAGAAAAAAAAACGACCTTTTGTTCGTCATCTTGTATTGCCGTCAATATTCATCCATTTAAGATGTAACAATCTGTATGTATCAGATCATGGAGAAAATGTTAAAAAGACTGTTATGGTTAATAAGGATTCATAACAAGCTTTGGCAACATACTGCGTCATGCATTGTCAAAGTTCTGTTTTTCTTCTAGGGGTTTACGCTTCCTGCTGAAAATAAAAAAGTAGTGAAATTGAATGAGAACTCAGATTGCCCTAATTTTGTTTATTTTGATTTCATGTTGTGAAAACCACATGCAACTGACCTTTTGGTTGAGTATCTCACATCATATATTTATTTTACTCTGAAATAACCTGAAAATCGTGCAATTACCCTATCAGATGAAAATCTAAGGATTTCTTGGCTGGATTAACCCCAGATGTTTCAAGACCCAAACAACACCCCTGTTTTTAGCTAATGGAATAAGCTCAGAAGAACGTGTATTTCCCCATTCAGTTGAGTGGGAGATTATGCTCTTGGAGGAGGAGTTTAAGTACATTGCGGTTTTGTTCACATGTGACAGTAAGAGGGAACATGAGACTGACAGGTGGATCAGTTCAGTTGGGCGGCTGCAGTTCTGAGGACGATGTAGAAATCTGTGCTGGTGACGCGGGAGATGAGTCATCAGGCTGGATTCACCTTTTACCACTTAATCTATGTCCCTGTCGCCACCTGCAGTCATGATCTGTGTGTAATGCATGAAATTAAGTTTCTCTGCAGGGTCACTGGGCTCACTTTCTGTGACGTGAGGAGATCTGGAGGGAACTCAAAAGAGAGCTGCTCCTTCAAAAGGAGCTGGTTGAGGTGGTTTGGACGTCTGGTAAGGATGCCATCAGCTTGGCCCATGGGAGCCGTTCTGGGCATGTCCCACTGGGCAGAGGCCTGAAGGAAGAACCCAGTTGTGCTGGAAGGATTATATCTTCTGTTTGGAATGAGCTAGAATATGTAGCCATGGAATGAGAGGTCTGGCCTGACCTGCGCCGCGGGCTACCACCGTGACCATCACGAGGAGGAGTGTGAAGATGAAGGTATAACTCTTAAGGAATCATTCGGCTGGATCAGATTTAAATGTCAATTAAACAAATAGTCTATTGATCTGACCACCAGGGCAGGTCATAGAACAAGGGAGACAATATTTTTGGGCCCCCTACCAACTACATACTTCATATTCTTATAAGCATGTCATGTAGGAGACAGCCAGACGTTAGCCTACTGCTAGCCTAGTACTGCCATAAAAACATTGCTCGATATGAGCAGTTATCTTTAAATTATGTGTGTGTGTGTGAGAGAGAGAGAGAGAGAGAGAGAGAGAGAGCAAGAGAGCGGGTATACCTTACCTTATGGGGACACAATGTCCCCATAATATGATGAATACCCATTTTTTTCCCCTTATGGGAACCAGTTTCCTTTAATTTTCTTTAAACGATCATTTGTGGTAAACAAATAATTCACTTTATCCAGAAAGACTATTACCCTCTAAGATAAAAAGTGATTCTGATTCACATTTTATTGAAATAGCTTCTGATTCACCAAACCAGGTGGTTAATCCATGTTATTGATTTTTACATATTGGAACATTCTCCTCTCAGCAGATAAGCCCTAATCAGTAGGCTATTGTTGTTTCCCGGTAAGTAATTCAGTATTCATAATGTGTCTGTTTCTTTCATGTTGTTTTATCTCACACATAGTTGCTGTGGTGATTCTGCAACATTCTAGAAAATATTTTCCTGCCACAACTTGGGTCCATCAATGGCACCAGAAAACAAATAAATTGGCAGTCCTAAGCGATGAACTGCTCACCTTGTTTGGAGTTGCTTTTCCCAGAAAAACACAGTTTATGTCCGTTGGACACACACACACACACACACACACACACAGCCATGTAGTCATATCTTTTTGGGGACTGCTCATTCATTTCTATAGGAAAAATGCTAATGCTAACTATGACAACCTTAACCCCTACCCACCCTAACCATAACCATAAGTAACCAAGCAAAATACAAGAGGTCTTGCATTTTTAGTTTTTTCATTGCAGCCATGGATTTTTATAAAATTGAATTTTACCATATGGGAACCAGGAAATTGGTCCATACCCAAATCTACATCCATGTTAAAATATTAGAAGGAGGAACCAAGAAATATTAAAATAATACTAAAGAGCAAAAAACAAACTATAAATAATAACCATAATTAGCTGCATGCCTTCAGCCTCCATCTGAATAGGGTGCTTGAAATCCTAGAAGTAGCTTGTGATTTTTAAGCTGAAATATAAATATTATTGACTTTACATACAGTTTGCATGTATGCATAAGAATTTGGTATTACAATCATGATGTACCAGTAATTTATATGTTTTCAAATGAAAGAAGAGCTTTGTACCTTTGTATTTTACCATGGGAAAAAGCACTTTCTTAGTCCTGAGTGTGGATTTGGGGTTCGTTAAATGCAGTTCATTCCATGAATTACATTAATGTTAATTACATGCACTTTAAGCAAAATACTCCAATGCTGTCATGTAAGGATAATGTGTTCACCTTCGTGTTTTTATCTTCAATTTCATATATTTGTATTTTAATTAATACAAGTGAAGGGGACGAAGATTATTTATATTTGTTTATTCCTGAGGCCCATTACAATGCAATTTATGTAACGAATACACGTACAGCTTCACGTTAAATTAAAATGACGGCTGTGTCGCCATCTAGCGGCTGCCATGCTAGGTTCCGGAGCCTGGGTGTGTCAGGCAAATAAAATAACAGGTTGCGGAAAGAGCAGTTTTACTTTCTTGACTTTTTCAGATCCCGGTTATCAAATATGTCTCACGGTGTGCTCACCCTGAAGCAATGCGAATATGATTTGTCTTTTTCTTGTATTTTTCCTGGAACCATTGCTATTTGATAAGCCTAGTTAAGCTATCTTAATTCAGACATAATTTTAAATATATTTTACAATGGCAATTTGTTTAAAACCAAGTAAAATATATTCCCCAAACGACCTATGATGACTCGAAGCATTTTTGTGTTTGGTCGAGTGCAGTAACGCAACTAAATATTCTGGCCATTGACGAACCACGGATAAGAAAATTAAATTTTAACAGTTCAAGTTAAAATGAAACAAAACACTGCAGTATCAGTCGTTATAGCCCGTTGTCCACACATTTGCTTAATTCACATTAGGTTTTGAAATGCAAATCACCAACTTAACGCCCACGTTTGCTCTGTTCCACCTGAATCCTATTAGCAAACAGTGAGCATCGCCTGTTTTTTTTCCAGCTCCCATTCCTGTTGTACAACAGGTTTCACCTTTACGCTGACGCAGAGCTCCAGTTAACGGCGCTATCGAAAGCAAATGGATATTTTCTAGGCACCCCCTTTTACCAGAAACCCTTTTGGGATTTGCAAACCAGCACCGGTGGGTTTACCTATGCGCTGGATTCTCCAACATGTAAATACCACCAGTCTGGAAGCTGCTGAAATTCAGTGTCGATCAAAATACCAGCAGCTTCAGCATGTTCCAGCAAAATCCGCTGGCGGACCGATCGCACGGACGGGATCAGTATGATAGCTGACAACATGGATCTGCTGTGGAGGATCTTCTCGGCTCTGAGCTTTGACTGCTTCAGACGTGAGTCGTGTACCGGGCAGAGGTGCGTTTACCTGGCATCGTCAGTACCGCAGTCTCTAAATGCAATGTTAGTATTATACGAAGGATTGTTTCAAAGCATTTTGCATCCCTCCTTAATAATCGTTCTTTAATTTTCGCGTTGGCTCGGTATCTCTTTAGCCACACCGCGCACAAAACAGCATTAATTTGATTTATTACGCGTTGGTATGTTATGCAATAACAATTGCGTAGCTAGTAAATTTTTCTATGCAAATCATAGTTGCATCCCAGTAGTATATATCTGGGTTGTCTGTCTTCAACAGGGGGAACTGAAGTATATCCGTTTCGTAAGGGTAAGGAATAAAGACGCTAATTTGGGGATTGATTGGGATTAAACGTGTTTGTCGTACGAAATAACAAGAGCGAAAAAAGAGTTTTAAAAAAATATTTCTTACTTGTAACATTTTTGTAATGAGGTCACCACAGGCACTGTGTCGTAGTTTCTTGTGATACGCATTATGCTATGGAGAAGTGATACATATCGTAGCTGATGTATTTTTGTAAATTTTGTTCACTTAATTGGCATCCAAAACCGTTTTTTGCCGTGTTTGGTATAATGCCCATTGGTACCAGAGTGGAAATAACTGATCCGAGATTCCTTTATAAATGATATTGAGGCCATTCGCCATGGAAGATTTGATTTCCACTACATAGTCTTTAATGACCAGTTTTCTAACCATTAGTTAATGTCATTTATCCAGGTCTCCCACAAAGTCAAGTCAGGCTGGCAGTGTAGAGAGCAGCTCCCTGAGTGGAAGCCTGTCTTTGGGCCCCGATTTACTCCACTGCCAGTGTTGCATCACCTATGATGCCCGACTGAGGCGCCTCTCCTGTGGGCATCTCTATTGCGACGCCTGCATTGACCGCATCGTCAACCTGGCCTTCGAGGACATCGAGGGTCTCTCCGACTACCCTTGTCCCATGTGCAAGTCCATCCGCCAGCTCGGTGACCTGCTGCACGTCCCAGACGCCCTCAGCACCCCAGTCTGCGTCCCGTTTTGGAATCTGCAGCGACAGGTCGTCAAGGGGGAGGAATGGAGGGGAAACTGAGGATGGTTGATGTTTCTGTGGGTCATCCTAACATTTACAAGGCTAGTCCATCAACTGTTTAAACTGAGGTTTGGACTTCTCGGTAATAAGTGAAAGACTGATTTGGTATAACGACCCAAAATCAGGACGTCAAGTATTTTCTGAAGCAAAAAACCATTATGGCAGTGTATGTTTCACTATATAAATAAACTGAATTTGTGAACAGGTAACAGGTAATGTGATGTGTGTATATATAGTGGACCACTGACTCCAGTCAAACTTAATTAAGATAGTATGCGTCTACCAGTGTTTGGGTTTTTTTTATTTTTATTTTAAGATAAACACTTCATAGTGAGAATTTCAAAAGAGGATATCTGGGTGACCATGACTGGAAATTCAACAGAATGCTAATCTTGTTTGGATCTTCACCTGTGAGAGATAAATATACATTTACTAAGCTTATTGTACAGTGATTTGGTATTCTAGTATGTTCTCTTCAGTGTGTGTGTGTGTGTGTGTGTGTGTGTCAATTCAAACTGATCAGATTTCCTGTTGGGCAGGAGCTATTTCAGAAGTGTAAATCATAAAGGTTCAAGCTATCGCAATGGCAATGAATGTTTGAGCTGTTTCCATAGTAACTTTTATAAGGTGTAATATGTGACAAGTTTTAAAATTGTTCATTTTAACTGCTCACTTCAGTGTTCAGTAGTGCTAATATCAAGCTATTTCAAATGACAGACAATGCTGTAAATATATTTATTTTCAATAAAAAATAAAACACATTCTGTATACTGTATGAGTCTTTTTTTTTTCTCCAATCAAATTGCTTTACAATACAATTTCTGGGAAAAAATAGGCAGACAAGATTTTTCCAAAACAAAAGTTTATTCCTTTTGTTCATTAAATAAAATGCAAAAACACAAAATATATACATATTAAAAAGTTTCATTTGTACCAAAACAGGAAATATTCATACATTTGATGCAGGAGGATTTCTGTTTGGAAGAATATGCTTAAAATAGCCACCATTTCACTGAATTGCGATGATTTTATATTGTTTGACAATTGTTTTCTCCATGAACCAGTTGGGACAAAAGCACTACAATGATAGATTAAAATAGAATAAATATTTTGTTTGATATTTACCACTTTTGATATAAAGTAATATTGGCTGCATAATGTTGTCCATTTCCTATAGCTATGCCAAGAATTATATATTAGATGTTGAGATCAGAAAAGCTGAACTAAATTTCTTACTCTACGTACGTGGTAATGTAGGGCGGAATTCAAAGCACTGTTCCAGAACTTTTATTTTTTACTCCAGAATTTCTGAAACGCATGAAGTAAACGTGGCCTAGTAGCTACAGCAATGGTTCTCAGGTGTTGTAGCCCCAGGACCTACATTATTCCTTGGTCAGTAAGTCACGACAGTTCTGTTGTCGACCATGGTGGGGAGTTGTCCTTGTTAAATGATGTCGGGAGATGTGCCAATCGTATTACTTTTTTTAACACCGCACCCTCCATGACGGTCGACTCGCAACTCACTTCTGGGTCACAACCAACCAGTTGAGAAACCCTGACCTACAAGATTAGTAATATGGGGTCTCATTAGAGGAGATAAAAAGCCAAAATTATCCCAGTGCTTTGTCACCTGGAGATTCACTTCATATAAACAGGCGTCACTGACCACTTCACCGTCCTTTTACGTCATCGCTTTACGTCGTCGCTTTACGTCGTCGCTTTACGTCGGCTCTCCTGCATGTTCCCAGAGCCACGCTGCACTTAAAAGTTTCTTTGGGGAGAAATCCTAGAACTATTCATTTAATGCAGGCTATATGTACAGATTATAAATATACATAACAAAAATAGATGCTGGCAGTTGCTCTCGATGATTACTCAGTTATATTTAGCATGTTAATATCATTCACCCGTCATTTAACCGCTTGTCCTGGTCAGGGTTGCAGGGAATGTTAATGCCGGCAGCAACTAATACTACAATTTCTTTGTAATACTCATAATACTGAAAAAAAGGTTGTTTTTTTTCTTTAATCTTATTGTCACTGTTGTACCATCTGGTTGGGCGAGCTGTAGCCAATCAGGAATGAGAATACATACACACGTTGGGCACTTCTTTTCACAGCTGCATTGTCTCCTTCATGCACAATACGTACAATAGCTATAATAAACATTTGGCACTAAATGACTCCATTCCCATCATTTATAGTGCTATCAGTTTCAATCATAACCCTCCCACCCACTGTTGGGAAGGTACTATTCAAAAATTAAATTTCGTTTGAGAAACAGTAACATACAACCATTTTTCCCCTCTGTACCAAGTATGTGAAATGTTTCCTGCTGGTATAATACTGTATGCTGCACTCATATATAGACTACAGTTAATGCATAGTATGTTTACAGGATTTTAACACCATATAAAACATCTGTATCAAAATTGTTTAACCAGCAGAATCCAGTTAAATGCAAAGAGCCCCTGAAAGGTAGGTTATTTTAGCACTTTTACGGTTTTCTGTTAAGCTTTCTCCCTTCTGTAGAGATTTTCAGAATTGCTCACAACCCACGGACCAATACTGATATTAGTCATAACCAGCTGTTGTCAGGCAGACCCATTTTGTTTTGTAATGACTCTGTGCACAAAAAAGAGTCATTAACAAATGACAGAGGAAGCTGGTAATGAAAAATATACCCAGTATTTTTCAACCTTGAGCTTTCATTTGGATGGTTAGTTCAACGTTAAACGTGATATAGCTTGTAGACTGAACAATCTAACAATTCAGATTTGGGAAAGAAGATACAACTAACTAGAGTGAACATTAAACTGTGAAAATGAACATATAAACATGTTGCAAAAAGTAAATGGCATTTGTATATAACAAAAAAGGTAAATACTTTACAATAATAAATGTCTGAAATCCAGAAAACATACTGAAGATCAGTCACTAAAGAAAACTTCTGCAAAAATAATGTTTAATCTAAGGCATTCTTAAGAATAAGCTCTGAAATTTATTCTTAAAAAAAGAAAGTTTGGGAAAGCCATTAGTATTTTAATGTGACATGATTTTAATAAATAAAATGCTCATCATTGTGTTGTTTGGTGATGTCACACTATCCTGTTGCATCATGGGAAGTTAATTTCGCTGTTCAGCTCGGTCCACAACAGGAGTGAGGGGAGTCTGGTCATTAATGCTGCTCTCAGTTCCGTACCTTCGCAGTTTACTGTGCAGGTCTACTGGGGTAATGCACTTAGGATGCCAGCGATGACCCTTTCTTCTTGCTCAGCCTGGTGCTGGGCATGGGGGCATAGCGCAGGTCCGGTCGGCCGTCCGGCGACTGGCCAAAGAGGAATGTACGCTTGCTGGCATCCCGCGGGGCGAGGGCGGGCAGGGCGGACGTTGGGGGTGGGGCGCGGGCCACGGAGATCCGCGGGGCCGAGAAGAGGAAGGTGCCGCCGTTGGCGTTCTGGTTGAGGTTGACGTTGGCCCGGTGTGGCTCCTGCTTCTTGGCTCTGGTTCCCGCCGCCGCTGCCAGCCTGTCTCTCAGCTGCTGCACCTCCTGTGCCAGTCGGTCCAGCGGGTGGTGCGAGGACACGGGTGCAGGGTGTGAAAAGGCCTTCAACCACAAAGGACAATGTCACCGTAAGGAGTCACGTGTCAAGTCAACGGTCAATGAAGGCGACCGTGACTCAGCAAATACCTGTGCCTGCAGGGCCCCGCGGAGGTAGCATTCCCTCCATATCCCCACACAAGGACCCAGCAGCTGAGGAAGCAGCTCCTGCGGCTCAGAGCGTCCCCTGCAGGACTCCGCCAGTAAACAGGCCTTCTGCAGCCGCTCCAGCCCGGGCAAGCTCTCGGACGAAGGGGCTCGCCGGTGGCTCTTCCGGTAGGACCCCCCAGACCCCCCACCGCTACGCCAGGGCAGAAGGTGCGAGGGGGAGGAGAAGCTGCCCCGGGACAGAAGGAAGACAGAACCCAGGGCGCCATCGTTCGGCTGAGTGGGAGAGAGGAAGACGGGGGCTGTTTGATAAAAATATCCTTGACTTGAAACACCTTTAAATCAGGCTATTAAAAACTCACATTCTAATTCACCACCCCTCAAGACCATTCCTTTTCCGGGACGAGGCGGCCTATTCGTCCGTGTCGTAATTATTGCTATCATCAGAGCTCACGTTATTCGAGAGCGGCTCAGAGAAACACCGTGACTGGCCTTGTTCTGCTACGCGGATGAATGTTTAATGTTGCTGAAAGTGGGAGTGTCATTTCATCACCTTGGACTGAATGACAATATTGGTCTTGGGCGAAGTCCCAGTCTGAGAGACTGACTGCTTAGGCATGCAGCAATTAGAGCTTCATTTGGGGACGGGGGAAGGGATGAAGGATAGAAAAATTAAACGGTTTGCAGGTGGACATTCAGCAATCACCTCGTACTGTATTAATTAATTTGTGTTGAATGCTGTTTGCATCCATTTTATCTTACCCTCTGGACACTTATCCTTTGATTTGATTAAAGCATTGGGTAGGTTATTCGTCGCTAAACTAAATAAAGTTTATTCACAACTGCAAGGAGTTTTGAGGAAACACAAAAGTACAAAAATAACATTTTGGGAAAAAATATATTGGTCCACTTAAAAAAAAAACAGCTCTAAAGCAGAGGAATCACAGGGAAGCAGAGTCACAGGGAAGCAGAGTCACATGGAAGCAGAGTCACATGGAGCTGGAGTCACATGACTAAAACGGCCACATTCAATTGGCTCCTGTCACGCTCTCCCTGGGATGCTAATCTGAGTGCTGTCCACCAGGCCCCCAGAATCCTTGGTGTGGACCACTGCGGGCACGCCCACGCTTTTCCAGCGCTGGGCGGAGCCGACGCGGCGCCCTAATTACACAGACGAGGGGGGAGCAGAAGGACAGATGGTGGACATTCCAGCCGTGACTGCCATGCCAAACCAGCCAGAGGCGTGGCACAGAGAGACCCAAAACCGCTCTTTAGACTGTTTTGAAGGTTTTTTTTGAGGAACAGAGAGCTTCTTTTTTACTCCCAAACAGACCATCAAGTGTTCTTTTAGCCCCCTAACTTTTACATATGGCCTCTTAAATGTGCTTTTCATCACGCCGTTGTTATTTAACACCAAGGTTTTACGCAATCAGTCCCCTAACCAGATGACACTGAGGGTGTATATTCACATACCAGCTGGATTTTATAAACATAAACAGGCACATAAACAGCTCTCCACTATTTCGTCGTCACTTAAACCTGCATGACATTCACGTGGCTATGAAAGATTGAGCGGACAGAGCTGCTTGTTGTCGAAAACCACTTGTAGGTGCCGTCAAACTTTACCGGCAAGATTGTCTATTGCCATGTCACTCATACAAGGACACATATGGGCACAAAAATTTGTGTAACATAACCCACATGCAAAAAAAAAGACAGAAATATTCACACTTCTGACAAACACACATACGTCCAACAAACAACAATATAATACTTCGAATACGTATTATATTCACCTATTTGCATGCAACATATCGCAAGCCTTGCAGATTATACTGTATATACAGACACTCAGCTTACGATGGGGTTACGTTCTGATAGCCCATCGTAACTGGAAAATATCGTAAGTTGAATATGAATGTGATATGATAAATAAATAAGTAGATAACTACTTTCACTAAGTGAGTACATAAATAATTACTGTAACTAATACTATGTACAATATGCTGTTAAACACGGAGATGTTTACGTTCGTGATTGCTACAGAAACTGGAAGCGTGGCTGGTGGACGCTGCCATAACCCGTCACCAGTAGAAAGTATCGTACGATATATCGCTAGTCCTGGAACAGATCGAAATTCAGAGTTTGATGACTATGGAATATGCATCACTATGGCACCATTATAAGACCGACCATCGTACCGTAAGGAGCATCTGTATCCACGCGTATAATCATGCATAGATGTTGCTCTGACCTTGGGGTAATGCGGGGCGGTATTTAAGTTCCCGTTCAGGACCGAGTGGACCGGGCCAGAGTTGGTCAGAGGCTGGCTGAATTGGACTCGTCTCTGGGGACTGTACTGCAAGGCCCAGTCCCAGACAGCTGGGAACAGGAGGTCCAATGGATCCTGAGTAGAATCGGGGGGCGTGGCCTCCCTCCAGCAGCCATTGACGGGGGTGTAGCTCTGGGGCAGGCGCTGGGGACACAGCATGATCGATTAATAACACTCAGATGGGTCTGAAAGACCCTGTAGCTGAAGTCCTTACTTACATTACTTTTACGTTACTTACTTTTTTAACCATTCCATACGGGGTCAGTGACGCTAAGACAGACAGTATCTCTCATTGTGTGACCCCAACCTTTCACTTAGCATCAAGCTAATGTGGGGTTTCTCAACCACTACTCTGTACTCAATACTCCTTATTAGGTAAACACAGTTTGGTCCATAACGGTCCATCCCACAGTCGGTGAATATTATCAAGGGGTCGTATAGTGGGCTTTTTAATGATCGCCAGCTGGCACTCGTGTTTGAAAAGGTGGAGAATTTCTGTTCTAATGTAATACTGAGCCGGTCTCACTGTGGCTTCACACCTCCAGGGTTTGTAGATCGGATCCCACCCTTGCTGTTTGTGTGGACTATTCCCGTTTCCCCAGAATTGTGTGGGCTTCCTCTGGTATTACTGGAATCCTCCCACATTCAAATAACCGGTCAGGTGAATCGGTCTCTCTAAACTGCCCAGAGCATATGTGTGCCCTGTGAAGGACAGGACTCCCACAAAGGGCTTCCTGTGAAGGACAGGACTCCCACAAAGGGCTTCCTGTGAAGGACAGGACTCCCACAAAGGGCTTCCCCTGCCTCACGCCCTCTGCTTCTTGAGTAGTATGAGAGCATGGATAATGGGGCCCAAGCAGAAGAATTTTTTAGGGGTCCGCCCATGCCTTTGTGTGGCCCTACCCATCATCCCCGTACTGAATAAGCATCAGGAAGTTGGCTGGATGAATTAGCTATCATGTAGTGTAAGTGTCTTAGTCACTAGAATTTCAGTTAGCTAAAATATTTAACGTGACAATGCTACCCGGTCTGCGCTGTCGTTAACATCATCCACCCTCGTAAAATGCTGTGTTATCAACCTCATTCATTAACTGGAATACTGTTTCTGCCCACAGGCAGATGTGCTGAGTGACCTGTAAGTGTATTGGGTTCCCTTTTTCACATAAGTGAAAAAAGAAGATGAGAGGTTGGGAAGCCATCTTGGTTCCTCTGCCAGCTCGCTGTTTGATCGGGACCCTCGGCGGCGGCGGGCGGCTACCTGAGATGGGCGGCTCCTCTCCCTCTGGCAGTTGAACAAGAAGGTGCTGAAGAGCGGGAGGTGGGCGCTATCATGGAGAGCCAGGAGGTAGTCCCCGGTGAACTGGAAGCGCGTGGGACACTGTGCCCATAGCTGCCAGACGCAGTCCAGGAAGAGCAGGAACACGGGAGCCTGTCGAGAGAATCGCACAGGAGACCTCAGGGTGCGAGAGGTCGGCTGCCAGTGCTGCACAGGGGTCACACCTGCCACGTGTCACTTTTTTAGAACATGGCACCATCTCACAGCCATGAGACGAAAATCTAACGGATCGTCACAGTGACAAAATGACAACGTGTTGCAAAGTGGATGGTGGAGTGCAAACTTGTGGGATTTTCACTTACACAAAAATGTTCTGAAGGCAGAACTAAAAGTGATTGGTTCAGAAAGACAACGAATCAGATAGCAGAGAAGGTGAGTCCAAGCAACTGGAGAAGGCTGGACCATGACATCTGATTGGTTGGTCTCGCTTTCTTTAGTTTGTTTGGACTGTTATCACAAGGTCGCTGGTTCAAATCCCACGATCAGAAGAGTGATTTCATCACTGGGTCCCTGAACAAGGCCCTTAACCTCAATAGCTCCTGGGACTGTTAATCTCTGCTTTCTTATAAAAATTGGATGCATCTGCTAAATAGTTTAAAAGTAAAAACAATAATAAAACTTCATTCTCTTCAAAATTCACTTATTTCAGAATGTTAACTTCAATGAACAAGGCTGACACTACAAGCTAACAAGTTAACCAAGAGGGTAGAATATGAGGAAGACTTTGTTTAACACCAGGGTGTGATGGGGTCTCTGCCACGGCCTGCTGCGAGCTTCACCTCTTCCTTGTCACTGTCTCGGTGGTAGTTGGCCCTGCTGAGAAAGCGATGTCCAGCCATCACCCACTCCTTCTGGATCAGCCCCTGGAAGCCCGCCACGGTTCTGCAGTATGGGTCACTCATCACCTGGACCAGGCTGGACACCACGCAGTTCATGTCCCGGTCTTCTGGTTCTGGGGGCATGTGCACGAGTATCAGTTAGCCAAGCTCACATGTTCTCCAATACGCTGTATTTCCACCAAGGGATCTGCAGTATCAGGGGTAGGTAGAAGAATACAGCCTGGATCTGAACCCATGATCCTCCACAATGAAGGATAAAAGGTGCTAGTGAAGAACCTTATCTGATCTACAACAATAACCTGACTTACCATAGCTTGATAAACAACAACAAAAAATCTTTACATGGATCATTTCAGACAATAATCCCTCAAAAAGTATTTTGCGGTAACTGCACTTCTCAAAAAGAACAGTGGAAAGACATGAAGGTGTCTTAAGTGATCACATAGAAAATAGTGCCACCTGGTGTTTATGTGTGGATGTGCATCTTCTGACCTATTATGTGTGCTCCGTCATGGTCCAGTGTAAGTATTATTTTCCTCATAATCATAAATCATAATCGTTTTATACTCCCCTCTTATAAACACCTTGCCTGTGACTTTCTGTAAGATCATTCTGTAACCCACCAGCCAACGCAGACAGAACAAAGAGGTCACACAGGTCCGACGCGTAGATTTTGGGTCAGACGCAGCGAAAGCAGCTGACTCACCTTGCAGGATGACCGTCAGCTGACCGGCTCTCAGCAGACATGCAACCTCAGCAGCCTTCTTCAGACAGCACCTATTTGGGGACGAGCAATCAGAGCTCTGTGGTAATCCCTGAAATGATGCGCACAACCAGCGATAACCCTTTAAAGCCCAGCATATCCTTAGCTAGATGATAAATCTTACGCAGTGATTGGCCATTGGTCTGTCTCCTGCTTAGAGACACATTGACCTATTGTGCTCATGGGAGTTTTACTTATACAAAAATGTTCTGAGGGCAAACCTAAAAATGGTTCACAGAAATAACCAATAATATTATAGAGGAGGTGGGTCCAAGCAACTAGAGGAGGCAGGACAAAGACTTCTAATTGGTTGGTCCCGCCTCCTCTAGTTTCTTGGACCCACCACCTCTATAATATGATTGGTTATTTCTTAACCAATTATTTTGCATTCTGCCCTCAGAACATTTTTGTGTACGTAAAACTCCCAAGAGGACAGATTGTGCCAAACAGGGTCAACCCAACCCTCTTCACTGTCCTAAGCAAAATTTGATTAACCTAGTTATCATTTGTCATCTTTCATCCCATCCTAAGGGGAAGGGGGGAAGGGGGGAGCTGGTGCCCAGTGTGCCCCCCAGCAAAGGAACAGAACCAGGCTTGACACGGTACAGTCTGGCTCCATTTCCTTAACAAGTGACCTCAGTAGGATTTGGATGCTTGTGAGTTACTGTGCGGCCGGCAGCTGAGCCGGAGGATGGAGGGAGAAATGGACTATTGGAGAAAGCGACAGCAGAATGCATTAATTATGCAGTTCTCTAAATTTGCATGCTTGGGTCTATAGCAGTAGTTCTCAGTCCTGTTGTATTAAGGACCATATGAGCCTTATTAAGGCAGGGGTGGAATGAAACCACGGGTTCATAGCCACCCATAAAAGTTGTGATTGTGCTATAGGCTGGACTGTAATTATAAGACATCAGATATTCAAAGATTTTCCCTATTTCATGCATACAGTATCTAATTAGAACTGATTATTTACTGTATAGATAAGTGGGATGTCGTGGTAAAAGTTAGAACGGAATAGTGATAATGCCCTTGGGGAAACAGTCCTTTGGCCTTTGACCTTTGACCTTTCCCATCATGCTCTCCGTGAGATAGAACCAGACACATGCACAGGTGAGAGACCCTCGGGCAGATTAGGTGTCTGGGCTAAGCGGCGGATGTCTTAAGATCTCAGCAGCGCCCCAGCCTTAGACTGACCAAAAAGAGAGGGAGAGCGGGAAAGGAATCATTTGGGGGCTGCGTTCAGGGTCCTACCTGATGTGGTCCAGCCAGCGCGTGCTCTCCAGGGTGGACAGCCATCTGTCATCCGGCACGCAGGCAGATGCTGAAATGTCTGATGGAGACGGAATAAATATAATATAATATAATATAATATAATATAATATAATATCTGCTTAATACCCAGGGCTCAAAATATCAGACTGCAAAGGCAGCTGAAGCCAGAGAGAAAATCAGCACAGCTCTCATCATGCAAAGGGCTTCTCCTGATCTTCCTTTGATGTGTGATTTATCTAGATATCTAAACATTGGGGACCTAAACAGAGAAAAGGGGTAGGAGTAGATTAATAGAAAGAGCAGATAAATCATGTACTTCTTACAACTCGTTTATGGACATGAAATATATATTTTGTAGTTTAATTAATTTTGTTGTATGTGTTTCAGTCTTCTAGATTATGTTTTTGTCTTCAGATAAAATTTTCTTCTTTTTGAACGTGTTCAAAATAAACTAAATTAAAACTAAAATGTGTGATTTGCCAGCTGCACAAAGCACATTCGATACACTCCTATTGATTACAGACATCCCAGCTTAGGCCTATCGATTTCAGGGAGGCGAATGAGGGACAACCGGAGGGGGGGGGGGAGGAGATGGTTAGCTGGCTCGCCTTGGGCGGTGTTACGATTAAACCACAATCGGCCACAGTCAGTAAATTTTATGGGTAAATACTGGAATAGCAATGCTTGTTAAAATACCGTCAGAATTAGATACTGCCTAAGTCTATTGCTGGCCGGTGGAGGGGGGTGATGGTGGGGTGGGCTGGAGTGGTATAATATGAGAGACTCCCAGAATTCCCAGGTGGGATGCCTGCGATTAAATCATTGGTTCGACAGGAAGAGGAAGTTGGCATGGTTACACCCACACATGACATCATCATAAAGCTCTACCTGTCTGCTTTAAAGAACAGCAAGACATGACAGACCTAATAATGTATAGTATGAGAGGTATGAGGAAAAACATAATGTTCTTGTGTAATGTAATTGTTGGATATTAGCTTCATAAAGCATATCCACATACAGTCTTAGGCAGTCATAGAAAATGATACTTAAATGATCTTCATGTTGGTGTAAAACTCTGCTGTTACATCTATCAACATGTGTTAGCTTCACCACTTCAAACCCCCCTAAAATCACCCCGTTATCTGCAGCAGCCACGTTTTTGTTTTTTTTTCACCACTTGCACTCCTTGTAATGCTATTCGATACCTCACTGACTTTTTAAACTATTTAAATTAATTACTAGAATGAACGTATAATAAAATTTAATGAATACATGGAATGATTTGGGTGCCCCTGAGGAGGGGTTTGGGAACTGAAGAAGTCCATCTGGCCATCCAACACAATATCAGTAACTTTTCGGAGAAAAGAAGATATTATAGAAGAAATTCGAAGAAGATATTACAGTTAGTTTTTATTTTGTTACTCTTCCTATCTATATATTCTGATTTTAAATTGTGTTTTTTGTTCTGGCAAATATATGTGAACTACCCAGGTAAATTTCCTTTAACTGCCTTAGGCTTTTGCACAGTAAAATACACACACACACACGCACACACACACACAACACAGAGGGCTATCAGAGAACTGCAAATACAAAAAAACTATAGAGACACCTACCCATTTAAAAATAATGTGTAAGCCTCTTTAATGACATCATGAGCTACCAATGTCAAAGTCTGAATTCATTTCACATGCCGTAAAACTCCCCTTTCATTGCAGAGGCAGATTTATTGAGAAGTTTCCTGCTCCTTTCTTGGATGGCTTTTGATCTTTTATTTACAGCCTCTCTGTTAAGATCAAAGCCACCTACTGCAGTCAGATACTGGGAATTTGATAGGTTTAGCCAGCTTTCAAAGTCTGCACCCAATGTGGATGTTTGTACTGAAACTGTTTAAAGTTACGGTACCTACACATAGTTACAAAGACCCAGAGTCAGTGACAGCTAATCCCAGACCTTCTGCATCCTTCAAGGAAATTTGTTGTCATTTAACTAAAACAGATGACTTGTGATTACACTGACATGTAGTGCTGCGTGACTCGTGATCGAAAGGTTGTTGGTTCAAATCCTGCGGTCGGCAGTTTGATTTTACTCCGCTCCAATTGTTCCTGGGACAGGCTAAAGCCGCCTTCTAAACAGAATGTCACTTTGGATCAAAGCATCTCCTAATCTCCCAAAATTGCTTGCCTTTTACTGAAGAACATACAGAAATGATACATCAGAGAGTAGGATGACCAGATCATCCAAGTCATGGAGGACACTAATCAACTTCAGGTTTTACAAACTACTTTAATACTGAAAGGCTCTTGTGCTTGGATAAATAGTTTAGTTCGTCTTGTACTTTTACTGGTTTGTTTCCTCGATCGAAAGACTCATCCAGCTGTTTCACATTAACATTAGTGACACATGCATGATTATAGGAGACTGACCAATCAGCACGCAACAAGAACTCGTTGCTGATGTGAAATCAATGTCCTTTTAATTGAAATGGTAGTTTACAAATGCTGTCCTAGTTAAACGTGTCCCCTCCCTGACGTGGATTATCTGGCCACCCTACCACCCTATCTAACGGGATGTATCTTCTAGAGGTACACGGAGAGGAGCCCAGGCAGGTCCTCGTGGACAGCTCACCCCCGAGGCACAGAGCTCGCAGGCGGGTGTGGGCCAGCTGTATGTCCACCAGAGTCGCCATCTCCTCCCCCAGTTCCACCACCACACACTGCTGATGGCTGCCAAACACGATGGCCTCCAGGTTCCTCCGGTCCAGAGAAACCAAAGCCACGGTTAGCGCAGCAAACACACCAACAATGCCCCATTCACCCAGACGCTTCCGGGCAAGGAACTTTCCTCAGGAAGCCCATTGGCCAGTCTGACTCATCGTCTTATATTTACCCCCGACCCACTGACCAAATACGGCAACCAGCTACTAATAATATTCTTTTGTTTGATTTCTCGACCATAAAGTCATTTAAAAATAAAAATACCAAAATAAATAAAGGCACAAAAATAAGAAATCATTGATAGGGTGCCCAGGGACATTAAACAAACTACACTGACTAAATATGCTAGCCTGGATGGACTCGTGTGAGAACTCAGTGTTTTATAGTAAGGGCCCCGTCCAATACCTGATGTCGTCCTTCTCATGGTAAATGTTGTTCTGGAAACTGGCCGTCCGCAGGAGGTCACTGCCACAAGGGTGGTGCCAGCACCATCGCTATTGGACGAGAACCACAGGCATCAGCGTGACATCAGCCGAGTGACAAAGCGGACCGCAGGAGACGTGGATGGGGGTAGATGCTCACGGGGATGCGTCCTTCATTGAAATGGGCAAATGTCTTCTTCAGTTCGGTGTCCAGAACCTTCTGGGGCACCACGTTAAACCGGGGAAGGCTGAAATGACATTGGAGCGTCAAAGGGAATGTTCCTTTTGCAACAAAACAACAAACACCTGGATTACATCAAGGATCCCGTCTGCTACATTATTCTAAAGACTAACTTCACAAGCATAATGTCTGATTTGGGACTTACAGTGTCAGGTTTTCTTAAAATATTAATTAATCTATTTCTAAAATGTAAATAATACATAAAGAGAAGGTGTCAGAGGTCTTCAACTGTCTCCTGGTGGGCATTTTTTTTTTCTCTTATGGGGGCCTC